ACAACGTTCGTCTTCGTTCAGAAGGAAATTTAAGACAGTTTGAAAGAGGAAAAGTGAAACGCAACAACTTGAACTCAGAATACCCATGGTACTGGATCAACGAGTTGCATGGACAATGTAACGCTTCAAATACACCGGGACTTGTGTACTTCGAAGCATTTGTTTCCCTGTGGATCTGTTCATTACTGGTAGCTAGAGCTGTTATAGAGATTCTCGAGCGTCCGAGCCAGACGTCAGCAAAAACATTCTCTCGAAAATTTCCAAGTAAAATGTAAACGTGGGGAGTTAATGTAGTGGGACCTCTAGCTTCGGATAACAGAATGTGGACAATGAATAAACCGTTGAGAGAGTGGAATTGGCTTAGCTTCTACTGCCTAGCACATGGTGTTAATAACAGAATGCATTTCTATCGAAGAACGGTTTAGAAATTTTGGGCTAACACAGAAGCGCGTGTCTATCGCCCTCGTTGAAGCTATGATCACCTGGATTACCAAGTGTTTCAGTCCTTCGACAGATACAATAGCTCCCGTGTCCAACAACCTTTGCTTACAAATTAAGTAAAAGTCTCAGAATCATCCCTCATTGATGCGGCCACGGTAAATGGTACACGCCCCAGAGACGAAACAAAAGCACAGAGATGACGGGCAAACACAACTGGCATATCTGAAAGACGATGAGATGCATGATAGCTAAAAGGAACTGAAACTATCATCCAATAGGCATTCACACTTGGTGTTGATGGTTAGTCCTGAGCAAAAAGAGAAAATTTTATACATAAAGTTGTTTTAGAGTATGTGATGAGCAGGCTTGTAAGCTGATTGATACCGGTGGTCCCTCGATTCAGTGTACTGAATTGTGTCTGCCGCTGCCAGATCTCCGAGGCTTCCACGAGACAAATCGGTAAGAGACAGGAAGCAGAATAATTGATTGCTGGTTACTTTCCCGTTTTCTCAGTAGATTTGACGTGTTACTTTTGGTACTGTTTGCATGCTAGACATTTCGAGAAAACCGAACTTTCAGTTTCGTGAAAATAACACTTTACCGAGCAGTGCCGATTGATAAACAATACAATCCCCACACAAGCTAGTGGCTCCAACTGAGCGGAGTTAGTTGAGGAAGACGAACTAGGGTTAAGTACCGAGCGACACAGCACGCATCAACCCAACGAAATATTTCCGCTAGTAGCTTTTGGTCTTTGGGCCGGTCAATGACCGATCACTCCGTGGCTTCTTTGGGTCGGGTACGGGATTGGGAAGCAATAAACGCGGCCGACAGTAATTCGAAAGGGCATCAGCAGTGCAAGATGGGTAGCGGTTTGGTGGCAGATATTGTCAAAAGGCAAATTCAGAGATGGGTGTTGCCAGGTACCATTTTGTTTTTTCTAGAGACTTCTGCTGCACGTAATTGCTTTATTCCGATTGGTTAGCCATAGCACCATGCGTTCATACTCAGATGCTTGCCATTAGTCCCAAAAATGTTAATGCGATGCGGTTGGGACTTTCCAAATTTCATTGATGCGGAAGGTGTAAAATAAGCATTCTTAGCTAACTTCAGCTGTTCTGTTTATTTCGGGCAACGGAGTGCTCTCTTTCGAACTACGGATTTTACTTGGCTTGAGATATTTCTACCCTAGTAGTCGGTATACTGGATTGATGTCCATACGCGTGTTGATCAAACATTTTGTGGAGAATCAAGCTTCGAAGAACTCCCTCTGTTTTTGCGTCTTTCTTGAGCAAGGATCCCCCGTATTTTAGCAATCAAGACTGTGTCCTTCTTCGTCCAGATGTGCTGAGACCAACGACGCAGCGTAGTGCTTTTCGCATGTACTTGTGTGCCCCTGTATCGTGGTTGTTAATAGCCTTCACGTTTGCTCCACATAGTGATCTATGCGATCTCTGTAATTCACCTTGTACACAGCATTTTGTCGCTTTTACGCTTCCTGTTTCCTAGAGTGTTGATAGCGTTCTCCTCAGCGTGGCGGTTGGTCTATGGGTTACCTTGATGTGTTTCTGAATAGTCTGGCAATGAATTCATATAGTTTCTTCACATACGGTAGAATGACCCGCTTCTTTGTTGTTGATGTGGACTCAGTGTTTGCGCGCATTTAATTCAAAGCATCTTCGGATGAAACTGCATGGATATCTAATGCGTTCAAACGAGTTCAATAGGTGTTTCACTTCTCCTTTTGCCTCGGCACTACTGCAGTTGGATTTTATTCTTTGGAATAATGCCCGAACGTAGCTTATTTTGTGGCATTTCGGATGGTTGTTATATGACCCGATCAAACATGGACACCCATTTCTGTTTGCAGATTACGTCAAACTTGTCTACTCATTTCATCCAGACCCACTACATATATGTTTGGGAAACATCTGTGAAGATCTATCCGCACTAAATATAGCTAGTGAACGTTTATTAATGAAGTTCTCCGCAGTGAAAGCCCAAGTAAAGATGTCGCATCCCAGAAGGCTCTATCATACTTGCCGGACACGTGATTCCAAGGTCTGATTCAGTTCGGGACTTAGGAATTAGGCACTCCAACACTTTCAATTCCTCCGAACATGTGCTTTATCAGGTTGCGAAAGCAAGGCAGTTATGCGGATATATGACCAGAACATTCTCCCTACCTGAAGCACGACTTGAGTCATTCAAGATAATAGTACGACCGACTCTGGAATACTGTACTATCGTTCATAGCCAAGTGAGAAAGAAAGACAGAATGGCTCTGGAAAATGTCTAACGACCATTTATCAAGCTGGTCATGGGACGCTGCTCAAACCTAGGTTATTATGATCGATGTCGAAAACTCCAACTGGATCCTCTTTGGCTGAGACGCTTAAAGTACAACTTCGTTCTCTTCTACAACATTAGAAATCAACGAATTTACGCAGACAGCACCGCACTTGAACTATGGAAGACTGCAGACTACCCCATACGTAATGGCGGCTACTTGATACGCACAAACCACTCAAATTATAAAACTCGATCGAATTTCCTCATAGTGAGATACACTGATCTGTGATACAAACTACCAATACAGATACACATGAGTGCAAGCTATGTCACAGTTCTAAATTCCTTTCAAACGTTCCTCACTATACCAAATGTGTGGAAGATCTTTGACTCAAAGCAAACTCTATAAACATTGACAGAAGCTGATATAAGAAACATATGAGCAGATATTCGCTTACAACTAGCCTATCCACCACATGTCATTACCTACAGGACCAAATCCTGTGTCAGTGTAGCCTAGTATCCCCTCCCTTATATTACCTACTTCTAAGCTCCACAAACTAGAAAATGATGACACAAACATCCGTAAATTGTACATATTAGGTGCAACAGTCTAGGGCCAGAGAAAAAAAATCATGATCCGAAATTCTATTAATAAAGGTTTCTTTACTAGTGTGATTTACGCCGCATAAACTATGAAACTTGTTCACTATACAAACGATCGCTCCCACTTATGGGGCCGTGTACCGTCTGTCGACAAATATACAAATTTATTTATTTAATTTCAAGTCTTGAGTGCGAAGCGCATAGCTCTCTGATCTATAGAGAAAAATTGGACACATCGCATGTTGATATCCTACCGCACGCCGAAACAATGGAGCACCTGACCCTTAACTGCTGCTAAGCGACTGTGTGTCCTCGAAGGTCGTGCGATAAACGAATGGCTGGTCAGTAAGATAGATCATAGAATAAAAGCCCGCGCCTTCGTTGGAATAAGCTAACAATACAAATTACACGAGCTATGGAATTGGTATCACTGGGAACGGGAAACGTATAGGCTTCATCGATTACTTCTAAGGCTTGCAGGTGCAGATGCGTTATGATGCTGTTGTCGAGTATAAATGTATCGGAGACACAGAACACATAAGCTACGAGTCGGAAGCGAGGGTTACTTTTCACCGACCTGACACAATAAACGAGTGTTGCAAAACAAGGTTGGAACTGATACCCGAAGTGTGGCGGATGGAACAATCTGAATGTGAGGGTGGGATGACCAATTCATAGGTGTTCTAGTCAAGAATTTGAGAATTGCAAAGGACGAGAGAAATAGGAAAAATTAAAGAGCTCTTCGGATGCTAACCACTATAAGGGGTTGTTAAAAGACACTTATAGTTAGAAGAGTCTACATTCTGGTCGACAAAACAGCAGAAAAGATACGAGTTCTCGTGGTGACGCTAAACGAAGTCGAACCCACAGTCTGAGCCGAAAAGCAGTGTTGTACATGCCAGGCTCAGAAGCGTGTCACGGTAAAAGAAAACAGGAATACGCTTGAAGCAAAGTATAAGTAGCCTCTCGACGGCCATACAATACTCTATAAACAAGACCAAACGCAAATGAGTTTCGGTGAGGCAATAGAGTACGAACTACAAGCGTAGCAACAAGCCAGCGGAGAACGCATGTGCTCTCTCATCGTAAGAAACAGCACTTGGAGCATGTGTTCTATGTCAATCCAAATGAGTACACAACCAATAACCAGTTGTTAGAATGATATGGCTAACAACCAATCCCTGAGACCCGATGAAGAGGACATTTGGTTTGAGCTAAGTAACCTCTAATCGTCGATTTATTGGATAAAGGTCGCCTTCGAAGTGCCAGTCATCGTGGCTCCAACACTGACGAAGATACACAAACAATCGTGTCACGTAAAATAGTCCGAACTGATCAAAACAGTCAATAAGTATTATTCATTTAATGAAGGACGATGCAATCAATTCCGCGGTCAGGGTAGGAGCAGGGTAAGATTCGGCATTAACATTGCTTTGAGAGCTAACCATCGAAGATGGGTGCTACATGATTACAACGTTAATCGATGAGTACTAAATTTTGAATATGAGTAGACAGTGTAAGATGCAAAATGGATGCATAAATCCGTCTCATAGTTGGATTGCATCAATTTTATGCGATAAGTAGCAGAATTGAAATGGAAATTCAGGTAGTGAAGATGGTGCCTTTGCAAACCGATTTGTGACAGCAACTTAGGTTCAGATTCAACGTAACAAGCCAAGAAACAGTTGAAGTGCAAGATTCGTGAACGATTTTGTAGAAACGAGTGCTAAATGTGGGGAAGTAATCAGATACGGATTCGTAAGAAATCCATGAGAAGTGTAGTTTATACGCTGGTGACAATTTAACAAGTAGCAGGAACATGACAAAATACCTGTAAGACACAACGACGGTAAAAACAGGGGTCCAAAAGGTTAAACTTTACAAAACATGTCAAGAACAAAATACAAAAATAACAACAAATAGAGGTAAAAACGTACCATGAAGCCATAGTTTGGGCAAGCACAATGACGAGCACCTCTAATGGCCTTAACTAGCATACTCAGGGGCAAATCCGTCGTCACTAGCAAATAAGCCAGAGCAATGGTCACACTTCGAGATACGCCGCATGCACTGTGGGAATAAGATAAAAAGAACGTCAAAAGTGAGTTGATTAAAAAATATCATAAATCCACACAACTGGGGTTCAATGCTGTGGGAACAACCCGTACTAAAGCACATAGTCCGTGTAAATGGAGATATATCAACAAAGCTATATACAGCGTGTGTTTGAGGCTGTAATAGGATTGGAAGGTAGTGAAAGGGCCCTTTTGTCAGAAGAAACGAATCCACAAAAACGATATGGTTAGACAAAATCCGTGGCCGTTCGGCTCAATCCTGAAAAAATAGACCACTATATCAGCAACAACAATATTCGTTGGTTGCTCATGAGTGTCAATCGTGACACAGCTACAAACTAAGTGTCTGTCGATCGATTACTAGAGGCAGAAAGCACATTCGGAAACCATTACCACTTATTCCGGAGAATAACTCGCTGTGTACGATAGCGTACCAATCCTTAAAGCAAACAAACGAGGTGTGTTAAAATAGCCACAAGACTGGTGCTACAAAATGTTATTTCAAACCATGATTTTGCTCCTTTAAACTAATCCCCCTAGAGTTTGATGCGCTTTCTCATCCTTCTCTGCCATGCTTGCATGCACTCTTCTGAAAGGAATCTTCTGACAACCATCCGTAGCTCCGTTGTCACGGCCTTTTTGATGCCATCCACGTCTGCAACACGGGTCCCACCAATGACCGCCTTGAGCTTGAGGAAATGGAAAACTCACACGGAGTCAGGTCGAGTAAATAGGGAGGTTGCTCTAGCACGGTCAGGAACTATCGGATGCTCAGAGCATTGTGGTCAGGCGCGTTGTAATAGTGAAGCAAGTGAAGCAGTTGTTTTGTCACAACTCTCGTCTTTTCACAAGCAACAAAGGAAGCAAACGCAGCAGTACATATTCAGTGACAAGTTGCCACAGGGCTAGAGAATCAGTAAACATCGAGGGGATCGGTTTTGAAGATGTGGACGACAACAACAAGGCCGTGACGACAAAAAACCATCCGTGAGATTATGAGGTGTGGCAGAGAAGAATAAGGGGAAATCACTTGGTTTGAAGTTTGGGTTTACAATAACTTTTTGTGATACCAGTCCTGGCACACCTCACAGAAGAATGCGGTTTGTAGAAGCAAGAATATTTCACGAAAATAGTTCGCCGTAACCAAGCTCATTAGGGACACCTCGGTTCCATACTAAGTTCATCTTGCTCCTTAACTGCGGATAACGGCCACCGGTCGGTTATTTTTGGCTGTGCTGACAAGATCACTTTGCGTTGGATTTTTTCGTTCACTGGGAGTATTTCTTGAAAAGGTAGATATAATTCAGTTTCATTTCTGATTCTGAATTTTCCGACCAGGAACACTTGTGTTTTCATCGCTTGGTTTCAGCGATCTTGCTATCGCCATTTCATTATGACCTACCATATTTTACATCTCAGTGGCTTCCCCATGCTGAGACCAATGCTGCACTTACGAGGGCCATGCAGCACACGCGGACACAGACACAAACTTGTCGTGCTGGATGTGAAGCGTGTTCCCTAGCCACTGTGCTTCGAACGGAGAGTGGTAAATATTTGGAACAGTTTGCCTAAATATGTGATGGAGGCGACATCTGTGCAGCAGTTCAAAACGTTGTTAGATTTATATTTTACCACTATTCGATTCAGAGAACGATTGCACACTCACGATGACATGTCACATGCGTGAGTCCTGCAATACCGTTAGTCGGCTATTTTAAATGTTACACAAGAACGATAACGATATTCACGGATGACAAATTTTATAACGTTTTCCCCCATATTTCGAAAGAGTTGTACAGAATTCATTTCTACTCGCTGTATAATACAATATTCAGTATTGTAGGTGAGTAAATAGGTCCAGCTGGAAAAGTGAAGAGAACAAATGTGCCGATCCCACAGCTGGACACAGCGGGTGTCATAAATGATATTTTATTCAGATTATGATGGGGTATCATTGATTAGAACATGTTGAAAGTTGATATTTGATGATCCATGACCGAAGCGGAGATTTCATCAACAGTTGAGCTAATATCTCAGGTAGTCCATGGAGGGCAAGTAGACACGAATAACTCCCTATTGTAAGAAACGGCCTCCGTGTTTCCAAGTCATTAGGTGGTGGAATGTATTCGACTAGTGGCAAACCAATGGTAATTAATGGGTTTCGTGAAGAGTGGACATGTCCATACTCAAACGAAATCATTGTCACCCCATCTTCCGTCGGTTACCACCACACTACTGCTTTATGTTTCATAAAGTGAGATCGAAGACGACACCATATGATGTCTGTTGTGGCACGGAATCCACAGTCTGCTGAAGATGACTGGAGCCGTTTAAATACCAAGGGAGCCCAGTGGTACACCGTACCAACGCTTCGCTATCATGAAACTAGCACCAGACGCGTGCGGATTGGGGGCACCACGAGATCGCCCACATCTACGGAGGAGAACCAGGGAGTATAAGTCAGACGCGAGAATCACTTGGTAACTAACCATGCGGAATGATAGCGTATGTACTGTAACAGCCCACAGTGCGTGTTTACCCCCAACAGATCCTGACATTTTTTGATATTTAAACTTGGAAATATAAGTATAATGGGTTCAGTTAGGAGAAGAAAACTGTGCTATACGGTTGCAAAGACACATGCTAAAGGGACAATGATAAAATTGGGTCTCCGATTCCAAAACAAAGTTCATAAATGAGTCCTCAGAGAGAAGCAGCTAACCGATGGGACACCCAAAAGAGAACAACTGGAAAGCTTGATAGCCCGGACAGACTGAATTCTCTATATTACCTGATGGATGAGTGAATAGGTGGCATAGAGAATTCGATGCTTTGACTGAAACATCAGCCTCACACTGAACGCAAGTTTTAGCTAACCATTTTGTACGCACATGTCGCCACTAAAATGCAGTATCTCCCCCAAACCATTGGAGCAATGTATACGAAGCTGTGAGGAAAAATACGGAGAAAATTAACAATAGCAGTTTTATTGCTAACGTACACCAACAGAGCCGTTCCTGCCCGTCTTATACTTCAGGTTAAGTCCACTGGCCGGCGTAAGCTGTTAACTTGCTGTTACTCCGACCAATCAAAACTGTCTGGAGCCAGGTTGCGATAGACTGCACTAACCCCGAATACTCCATCCGATCCATTGAATTAAGGTTAGAATGTGTGGGTGATGCTTGACCGGTTTCTAGTGCGTAGACTCATGCTTGAAGTTTTCTTCCAGTTGTGCAGCTACTGTCGCACTCAGCGGCATCATATTAAATTACTTAATATTAGCGTGCAATCTGCCCATTGTTATCAGGACTAATATACTTCGCCTCGGCTGCAACTATGCAACATTTGCTTACGCTAGGCTCAATTAAATCCACATTGTCAATATGACCATACCACTGCGATAAGATAATGAGCGCAATGCTTTCTTGGTTTCTCGGCTACTAACCCCGCTTCGCTTGTGTTCGCCCGATCCAAGAGCTACCATGATTCTCCCACGGTAGACATTACCACACTGCGAACTTCACCGTTTCCTGCTGCAGCAGATTCGTTTCGACAGTTTCTATTGCAGAAGAAGACTGACTGGCTCCGACAAAAAATGAAGACTGATTTGGAGCTACATAGTGGTTTTACATCACCTTTCCATCTACTAGCGGCATGATTCAAGATTAATGAGTGATAACGCATAGAAGTCGATGAACAGATTCATACATACATCACACGTTAGCTAAATGTGAGAAACACCTCAGCTACCGTACATGAATATAGTAAGACAAAATTTACGAGGGAATGTGAGATAGAAAGCAACATAGAACACTACAACAAACAAGTAATGTAATTTTTGCGTAATATTATGCTTATGGTGTGAGAATATGTTGGGAGGAGAAAGATAAGCGGGAGGAGAAGGGACGAAGAAACGCATAACACAAACGCCATTGTATATGGCTCCTGGCCATGTTAACAAGTGTATGTAACTAGAGGTGTTCATCGTCCTGCGTACCCAAGCCGGGCAGTTGAGAGGCACAAACCGATGACAAATTCAAAGTAACGGTCTTCATTCCTCTGGAACAAGTCATCCATTGGCCTCCCCTAATCTTCATCCGGCCACAACCAGGTCGGTGTAAACAACGCACCACGCGAGAGTCGGTGTGATGGCACTCGCAACATATGGCCCAACCATCAGAGTCTTGTGCGTAATATAAGGGAGCTGAGCAATTCATTCGTTTTTCCTGCAGTAATTACGAGGCGCCGAACACGCTCATTAGTCGCACAGTGTTACTACCAGAGGAGCTAAGTTGCGAACGCAACAATGGTCGAATGTAAATAGGATTTTTATGTCTGTCAACCTGATGGCCTAGTTTTCGCAACCGTACAGGATAGTTGAACGGACGGTTGCACCGAAAACTAATCTTAATGGTGAAATTGATGTCGCGCCGGTGCTACAGGTGGCGGAGATTCACAAGCGTGTCCCGAGCTTTTTCTGTATGGTTCGTAATCTCATCTTATACTCCACCGGCGCTGACATAGATACTTAGATACATAAACTGCTTGACTAATCCGCACCAATAGTCAGCCCAGAGGTGGGTCGCTGCCAAGCTTGGAGGACTTTGCACTTCGAGGGTGCAAAGCATAACCCGAAGCGACTGACGGACAAAGCTAATTTATCCAGTGCAGCTTAGCACCTTTGGGAGCTGTCACAGATATAGGCAATGTCGTCGGCGTACTCCAAGTCAATAGGTCGATCAACTAGTAGCAGCTCCACTCCTTGCAGTTCGTGTTCAGTGAACGCCGTTTCCATGACTTCGTCAAAGGAAAGGAAAAGGCGACAGCAGGCTTCCTTGACTCACAATGCTGGAGATATTGTAGGGCGGCGAGAGTTTACCGTAAACCCTCACTCTGCCCGAAGTATGCGACTAAAGCGATCTGAGAATGATTGCATATTTTTCGGGAACACTTTTCCTAAGTAGACAGTTCCAAATGGCATATCGATCAACCGAA